AAGCACTAATGCTCTCTCGGCATGTCCATATTTTGCCAGCATCAATATTTGTATGTCCATGTTTACGGATTGTGTAATATAAGAGGGGCTTAATGAATCAGAGAACGATACGCCATTGTTGTTTGTAACAGTAACTAAACTTACACATTTTAAAACAAGAATGCAGTATTGTAAATGTCACCCCAGTCTCTCTAAACCAACCTGCTCTGACTTTTCAGATGGCAAAGTCTGATGTGATTGGCCAGCCAGTGAGTATACTACTTTATCGAGTTCATCAAACTGAAACTTCAGCGATTATAACGTGACTTTGTCAATTCCATAAAGGTAGGAAAATCTTTTGTGTGTGTGTTTCGACAATAAATACCTCTTATGGTGAAACTGGAACGGTCGAAAACTCATTTCAGCAGTTCAGAATCGAGTCGCAATTACTTATCATGCACTTTGACCTTTAAAACTTTGCAGACGATTTACTTTCAGAGCTAAAGTTCACTCTTAGTAATGTTCAAATAAAGCATAATGAGGCACTTTATAAGAGCCATGAACTAAGAAATCGAAATTGTTTTGATCTTTTGTGATATAAGAGGTCAAAAACAACCTGTATGCTTCAGAACTCTCTTGTTAGTATAAAAAAGCTCAACTGAAGATAGCCAGAATGATGGGTTGTGGAATGGATGCTATTAATAATTACACTATTATAATAATAGTGTGGCTAAACTCTGCCTTCATAGAAGATGGTGAATGGCTGTTTTAGCTCCACACATCAATTCATACAGAAGGTATTTAATGAGAGACAAACTAAGGTCTATGCAGAAACCAAACAATACAGGTGGTCAGAAGACTACAAGTTGCAGTATAGTGCCAAGCTGTGAAAAAACACAACTTTGCAATGCTTGCTTCTGATCCCAAAATGAAGAAAGAGTGGATGAACTTTCTAGACCTTGCAAGTAAGAACTAACAGTATGTCATAGTTCATTTCATTTTGCTTTGGTTTTGTGTGTGTGGCTTAAAAAACAAGAAGCCATTCAATGCAGCAGTGTCAACTTTGAGAATATCAAAAGTGAAGCATTGAAAACGTGTGTGTAAAGTGCTAGCCAACCATATTAGCAGCCATTTACTTCAGAGCCGACAATTCAGCACGCCCATTTAAACAATGTGAAACATTGCGATGGACGATGACATTGTCGTCATAGGCGTCGGTGAGTTAATTATTTATGAATATTTAATTAAGTAATAACGAATTATTTATTTGCAGCCAACCGCTTCAACTACCTAACCCGCATGGTCCTTGTATTACCCATAACCAAATATACATGACCAAGTATACATGAATAAATAAATAAATGATTCAAAAATAAAAATAAATAAGGTAAGTTAAGCACAAATTACCAACTGTCAATCACTTTTTCCGCAGGACTCCGCCTGAATAGGCAGAGTGATCTGTGTTGTTATAATGACATTCACAAACTTGGTTGGTAAAAAAGGTGCAAAACCAACAGGAACCAACCAACAGTATCTAAGGTTTAGGCTAAACTCATTAAGTACAAGCGTGAAAGTGAAAGATTTAACAAGTGTACTGATGCTGCGACACGTTACCTGATTGATTCAAAAGACAGAAGAGTCGTTAGATAGAGACAAGATTAATTAAATATTACATTTAACAACTATAATAAGATGCAATACAGCGGTACATCCTTGATATACTGTCAGAAGCTGCAGTGCATGACATCGTTTGTGTGTGTTTGAGTGTGTGTGGTCATGTGATGTGTTTTCAGAGGTATACTGTGAACGGAGATCTTTTCGAACTGCTATGTGAAACGCAGCTGTGTAAACGTGGATCGTTTTCATTCGAAAATGTTATCTTAAAAGTAAGATGTATTATTGTAAATGGGGCCGTCTGTATTTTTCGTGAGCAGGTTGCTGCTGCGAAGGGGGCATGGTGGAGGACCACGATGCTGTCTCAGCATTGTGATTGTTCTATAGGCCATCGGCAATGGATGATGGCATCGTTTATCAACCCAACCATGAGACAGAATATGCAGAATATATATATATTTTTTAATCTGTGGATTTATGCGGAATGATTTTGGGAGTGTCATAACTAAAAACTTAATATATGAAATAAAAATAATACCCTTAAACTTTTATTTAATGCTTACAATGCAAATCCAATTAGATTCACTTAATTGGTAAACAAATCAAATCTCATATAATATATCTACTAAAGACAAAAAATATTACTTTACAAACTGTATTGGAAATAAATTATATGAACATTTTCATATTTCAATAATATTACTGAAATTAATAAAAAACTGAATAAATATAAATCAACACACATGTACACAAATAAATAAAGAGTCAATAATGGGATAAAAACCCTTTTCACAAGTTTAACGGTCATCAGCATCTTAATTCCTTAAAAGTTTTTAATATCTTGATTTTTTAAAAACATACAGGTAAAGTCAGAATTTTTAGCCCCCCTGAATTATTAGCCCCCTGTTTATTTTTTACCCAATTTCTGTTTAACAAAGAGAAGGTTTTTTTCATCTAATTTCTTAACATAATAGTTTTAATAACTCATTAATAATAAGTATTTTATTTTATCTTTGCCATGATGGTTTGTTCTGTAGACTATCGAATATATATATATAGCTTGAAGGGGCTAATAATTTTGACCTTAAAATAGTTTAAAAAATTAAAAACTGCTTTTATTCTAGTCAAAATAAAACAAATAAGACCTTCTCCAGAAGAAGAATTTCCTTGTTCTGTTAAACATCATTTGGGAAATATTAAAAAAAGAAAAAAAAATTAAAGGGGGGCTAATAATTCTGACTACACTATATATACATTATAAAGCTATACTTGGTATTATATCATCTTTGCATCAAATATAATACAAAAATACAAACTAGCGATTATGTGTGAGAGGCAGCGTCTATAAGCGTGACAGTAAATTTGACATTGTTCTCTTTTCTGTGTGGCCATATCAGTCTCATTTTTAAAAAAAGTCGTGATAACACTATCATGGATTTTTTCTTTTACTATTTGAGCAAAAAGAAATACATAAAGTATTTGTGGTACTCTCCTATTCACTGTGCTCAAAGTTTACCAAACTATGACGACTGCGGAGAAACTGGGAAATGTGAAAAGGGTTCATTGCTTTTCATGCATACAGTTAAAGTCTAAATGATTCGCTCTCCTGTGATATATATATATATATATTTTAATGATGTTTAACTGAGCAAGGAATTTTTCACAGAATTTCCGATAATATTTTTTTCTGGAAAAAGTCTTATTTGTTTTATTTCGGCTATAAATACTATAACCATTTTTAAGTCAAAATCATTAGCCCCTTAAACAATATTATTTTTTCGATTGTCTACAGAACAAACCATTATTATGATTTTCCTAGTTAACCTAATTAACCTCGTTAAGCCTTTAACCTGTTAGCCAGCACTCAATTTTGGGGATTTACACCTACCTAAATTTAAATAGTAACAGTTCCTGACTCCAGTAAGCTACAAACACAAATTATGTAGCATTGGGAAGAAGACACTTTGAGCTTTACTGTGGTAAAAGGAGAAGTTGTATGTTAAAATATATAAAAAGTTATACATTATGAAGTCATGAGGAAATTTTTTTTTATTGTGTTTAATTTTAGTTTTCCATATAGAAACACAGAAAAACATTAATTTAATGTCCTAGAAAAAATATGACTTGAAAGCCAAGTATTTCATATGTTTACATTTTAAATTTGATGAAGATAGCATGCAAAATGAGATTACTGTAAAAAGTTTTCTGAGGCTATGTCGATGTCCTTCTCTCCCTCACCGTCAGAGGCACTTTCTCAAAAATCATCTTCCCAAGTTGAAACATTTACAGTTGTTGAATGATTTGGTCTACATTTAAAGTTTATGTATTTTTGGAAAGAAGACACTCTGGACTTTATAATCCATCATCAAGAGTTTATAATGCTCAAAATGAAAAAAAAGTTATAGATGCTTAAGTAATGTAAAAAAAAAATTATCCGCACTAAACATTTTATTATTTTATAAACAAATATGTGAAATTTGTTCTGGAGCAACACAGAAAAGCAATAGATCAAAAGCTACACATCTCCTGAGTATATGTTTTGAATTTGATGCCAATATCATGCAAAATTAAATTTCGGGAATTATTTTTCTGAGACAATGTCTTGTGTTTTTGCCCCTCACCTTGTTTGTGGAGAAGTCTGATGACCACACGTACTGAAGCTTTCCCTATTTTTTAAATTGTAAAATAATGAGCAGAAATGTATAGTATGAATGATTTATTTGAGCACAAGTAGTGCATTTTAAGCTGAATACTAGTATCCTGAAAAATATCAAGTAAAATATTATGTACTGTCATCATGGCAAAGATCTCTCTGTGAAACAGAAACTGGGAAAAAAACATACAGGGGGACTAATAATTCAGAAGGGCTAATAATTCTGACTTCAATTGTATATGATCATACATGACATTAATATAACTTTTTTTCAATGCCTGTATGTGTGTGTGTGTGTGTGCATGTGCCAGGAATATGCAAGCAACCTAGTCCTCCCACCTGCCCAAAGAAGGGAACGTTCTTAGGAAGCACTTGACATTTCACACATTCCTCACATTCCCCAAATAGAGTAAGGAGTTGGCTGAAACCATCTCTCCTCCTGTTGAAGAGCAACTCCTCCAATAACAGGATGTGCAAGTCGCTCAAAACACAGTGAAGGCCGCAGTGGGCTTTCATACAACTGTAGTGAAACAATAGCCGAACGATGGCAACAAGAAAACAAAATGCCACTCGCATTTGAATCGGACAAAAAAGCAAGCCTATTTTCATCCCTGCTCTCCTTGAGGGACAATTAGAGGCAGAATGAAAATAGAAGAGCATTGTCTCCAGTTCACTAACTATATTGATTTAGGAAATGCTGAAAAAGAGTTATGTTTCCAGGGCAGATCTGGATGGTGTGTGAATGTGTGCTCACCTCCGATGGCGTTACATCTGGACGTGATTTCCCACAGCACTAGAGCCATAGAGTAGACATCGGTTTGCTTGAAGGACTCAATGTTTTCAAGGTTGATCCTCGATTCCAGCACCTCTGGAGCCATGTACCGGGCTGTACCCACCTGACAATCACACACACAGAATAATTGTTTCAATTTATATACAGTTGAAGTCAGAATTATTAGCCCCCCCTGAATTATTAGACCACCTGTTTATTTTTCCCCCCAATTTCTGTTTAGCGGAGAGATTTTTTCAACACATTTCTAAACAAAATAGTTTTAAATAGCTCATTTCTAATAACTGATTTATTTTATCTTTGCCATGATGACAGTAAATAATATTTGACTAGATATTTTTCAAGACACTTCTATACAGCTTAAAGTGACATTTAATGGCTTAGCTAGATTAATTAGGTTAACTAGGCAGGTTTGGGTAATTAGGAAAGTTACTGTATAACGATGGTTTGTTCTGTAGACTAGAGGTCTGCAACCGCAGAACCCGACCTGATTTCTAGCGCCGCGGTAATAAATTTTCGAATAAGGCGCGGGAGTGGTCGTAACTGGTTTAATTTTGGATGCAAGCACCTGGTCTAACAGTAGCCGCGTTTCCACTATCGCGCCTAAAGCGAGCGAGCCAAGGCCAGTGGCGTTTCCACTGTCACTTCCGGGGCTTAATCGGGCCAAAGCGGGGCTTTCTCGGGGCCAACGGCCAGCCTTTTTCGGCCCGCCGAATACCTTGGGCCAAGGAGGGCCAGCCGGGGCTTCGGGGCGGAGTGAAAGGAGAGGCGGGCACAGTTTTCCGATCGCACTCGAGTACATGCGCCAAACAAATAAATAAATAAGGGAAAGAAAACATCTGGAACAAATTATAGGCTGGGGTCTTTTTTGCATATGATCGCCCTTATGTTTCTCTTTTAAATGTAAGGCTGTTGCATAAAATGATCTTTCTTTGCTGCATCTTTGATGTTTCTATAACGCATAATAATCTTTACACCATATTAAAGACACAGCAGACAGTAAAGGTTTTCAAGAGGTTTTGTCAAGTTTAATACTGTGTGTGTTTTTGCGCATTTAGATGCCCGTGTATGTGTGTGAGACCGAAAAAAGCGCTCCATTCATAGCTCTGTTGATGCCGCGAGCGGCTTTTTTCTTTTATTTTTATTGTTTTAATTTATTTTGGAGATAATACACTATATGAATACAACAGTAGGACATTAAACTTTACAAATTTCATGCCCACTTTTGTAGGCTCAAAACAATAGTGTCATATCTAGATAAAATAGCCCTATATTGAAATAATTTAAAGAATTACAAATATTAGATAGGCCTATAATAAAATCACATTAAATAAATAAACCAATATAAAACTAACAAAAGCTATAGCTATAACAATTAGGTACTATATCAAACTGTTTCAAATTTATATTAAACTTCATTTTTCAAAAGCCTCTTTGAAAAAAAGATTTTAGATATTTTCTAAAAAAATAAAAATAAATAAACACCGGAAAATGTTTTAAATATTATTTATAAAGTATTTGGATACGATGAAATTAATCAAATCATGCAAACTGAGCATTTTTGGGGTGAGTGAACGCAGAAACTAGGCGACCTTTTTTTCTGTCTGCAGCTGCGCAGCACTTTTTTGACGGGGAAAACTGCAAGTTCAAAATGTGTTCTGTGTCCTCAAACAAGTGTGTTTGTTTTTATATGACGTGGTAAAATTAAAAAACGACATTTTAAATACATAAAGAGCTTTATTAGTGCATAGCTGCTGAGCGCAACAAAATATAGGCTATATTTTATTACGTGCTGCTCTTATGTGCTGAAACACTGAACACTTTCCTTTACTTTAGATATAATAATGTTTCAGTTCTCTCCGGAGCATTTGGGATGAATGTTGGACAGATTCTGTCTAGAGGATGTTATAAAAAACATTTTATATCGAGTTATTAACAGAGAATTTTATATATGTGGTGTTATATTATGGATGTGTGCGCTCCCTGCGCTCCGGGTCCCTCCGTTGGTGGCAAGACCACTGGATTTCGATGCCAGTCGGTCGGCGAGTAAATGAATATGATAAATGAAAACACACAGGCATGTGCGTATAGACATGCGTTGTATTGCTGTACAGTAACGTGTCATTTGTTTGTTTTGGTTGTCCTAATTTTAATAGTTTCGTGATGATGTGATGGTGTGCTTTATCTGCACGATTCTCGCTGAAGTGGGCGGTTTGAGTGACGTTCGATTCGGGGGATGTTCTGGGGGCGGGGTTTGCGTGACGCGCTGCGAGCTACTAGCCTCACAGTAGAAACGCGACATGATTTCGGCCTCACTGCTCAACCTCCCGGGCGATTGGCCCGGCCTGGCCCGATATAAGCCCTGGCTCGCACTGGCCTGATAGTGGAAATGCGGCTAGTATTGCTCCTGACTCCTGAGCAAGCGTATGTAGGTGTGTGAATGAGACAGCGTGATGCTGCGTTTAGCTTGTTGTTGCTGTCTATGTGTGTGTGTGTGTGTGTGTGTAAATAAGAGAGAGAGCATAACGCTGTCTGTGTGTGTCACTTGCTTGTGCTTATGTGTGTGTGTGTGTGTTTATACAGACAGCTTGTTGGGCTGTCTGGACTCTGTATAGCTGGGTGGTTTTCGGTTTTGTCAGGTCGGGTAGCGGGACAACAAATGCTAAATATAAGCGGGAACGGTCGGGTTTGGGCTAAAACCTGGCGGAAGTGGGATTCAAAATTGAGTCCCGGGCAGATCTCTACTGTAGACAGTCGAAAAAATATATAGCTTAAAGGGGCTAATAATGTTGTCCTTAAAATGGTGTTTAAAAAATTTAAAACTGCTTTCATTCTAGCAGAAATAAAACAAATAAGACTTCCTCCAAAAGAAAAAATATTATCTCTGTTAAACATCATTTGGGAAATATTGGAAAAAGAAAAAAAAGGATTCTAATAATTCTGACTCAACTGTATACTGTATATATATATATATATATATATATATATATATATATATACATACAGTATACAGTTGAGTCAGAATAATTAGAATCCTTTTTTTTTCTTTTATATACATATATTTAAAAGTAAACTACATGTAATATAATGTATATAATTACATAATATAATAATTATAATATTACATTACATTGAGGCTACTGTTATTACTATCAACAAGAGCAGTGATTTTCTCTCTGTTCCCTCACTTCTCCCATATGATCATTCAGATAACACATTTATTCCATCTTTCATATTTCACACTGTTTTGGGAGAACTGAGCTTATATTTTTTTCCACTACTTTATCTTTAAAACAAGCAGTTTCACCTCATTATTCACCTCACTTCAGGGGTACAAAAGATCACACCAACGAACCAACAAAACTGAAAGGTGATAAATTAAACAGTCCAAACTCCCCTTGAACGGTTTTAGGGTCTCGAATGTTGACACACATCAAAGATGAGGAGGAACAGAGTCAGGTGATTGTTAGTTCATTCATTACTGATTCACTCAACACCTCTTGTCTTTTTACTTTCAGCCTGTGAATCATATATCTGAGCAGACAGTTGAACAAAGGCCTGTGGGCATGCATACATGCACGCACACACACACACATCTGCAAACGAAGAGATGCCTGAGGGACTTTCCCTGCTAGTTATGACATGACGTTTGCGCCACTGCAAACCTGTATACTATATACACATGCAAAATACACCAACGCTTTTCTTGACATCTACTAAACTGTCAAAGCGTGTGAATCTGAGCAGCCGTTTACTGCACTGGGCTTGATGAAAAAATGTAGTTAAGTTGCTTCAGGTGGTCTATAAAAATAAAAGAAAAAATAATGTAAAAAATCTAAAGAGAAAACAAAATACTATAAAAAGTATACATGAATAAATAAATAAATGATTCAAAAATAAAAATAAACAAACAAATATTTATTGTTTTCATATTAATTTTAGTCAGTGTTGTATTAATGAAGATGAGGACTTTATCATTATTTTAGTGTTTTTATTCATATTTTCGTTTAATTTTAAGTTAAACTACATGTAAATGAGATATTTCTTCTCGCAACTAGATGAAATAAAATCAAATAAAAGTGTATTATAAATATTTCATCTCTTTGTTTCATTTCAATGTTTAAGGTTTTAGTACTAGCCTTTTTTTGCAATCATTGCTATTATATTTATTTGATGACTTTGAATCAGATGTTTTCATTAAACACCCAAGTGTTCCACTGTATTGCTTATTTTGCATACTATAATCCGTTAAATCTGAAGTAATTAAAGTAAAATACCTGTTTGTTTGATTGCTTCACCTTCATTTATTTATTTATTTATTATTATATTAATAATATTTTTTTATGTTCAGTGAGAGAATTTTAGACTGTGTTGGGCTGAACAAGTGCACTCAAGTAAGGCTGAATGTGAAGTGAATATGTGATGTAATGATCATCACTGAGAATGGATCTGTATCTGCATTTGTTAAATCTTTAATCTGAGGTAATTAGTCAACCTTTTTTCCTGTGTAATTTAATACAAAGTGTGAAGTATGTAGCTTCCTGTCACATGACTCGTGGTTCGCTTACGTTTTAATATTTTACCTCACGGCGTCTTCATTAATTTATTAAAAATAAATAAACACATTGAAATATCTCATTAGAAAAATGCCTTTTGAATCAGATCTTTTCTTTAAGCACCCAAATGTTCCACTCTATTGCTTATTTTACATATTATATCGATTAAATCTGAAGTAATTAAACATATACAGTTGAAGTCAAAATTATTAACCCTCCTGTGAGTTTTTTTGTTTCTTTTTCAAATATTTACCAAATGATGTTTAACAGAGCAAGGAGTTTTCACAGTATTTCCTATAATATTTTCTTTTTTTCTGGAAAAATTTTTATTTGTTTTATTTCGGCTAGATGTTTTTTTAAAAACATTTTAAGGTCAAAATTATTAGTCCCGTTAAGCAAATTTTTTTTTTCGATTGTCCACAGAACAAACCATCATTATACAATGACTTGCCTAATTACCCTAACTTGCCTAATTAACCTAATTAACCTAGTTAAGCTTTTAAATTTCACTTTAAGCTGAATACAAGTATCTTAAAAAAATATCTATTCAAATATGATTTACTGTCTTCATGGCAAACAAAGTGTAAATCGGCCTGGTTGGTTCCTGTCACATGACTCGTGGTTCGCTCGTGTTTTGCTTTTTCAAATCGCGGCGCCTGGAAAACTTGAGCTTGACATACCGCATGTGCATCCCTTTCTATTTGCTGAACCTGCGGATCTCCATTTGAAATAATGAAACAGAGCGCCCAAAAGACGCTATATGTGAAAGTCACCTTTTGTTGATTTGCTACATATCTGCGCATTACAAGGCCCTGTTTGCCGTTTAGTTTAACTTAAATAAATACTTCACGTGGGCCGATCAAAGAAGTCCAGCAGGCCGCATGTGGCCTGGAGGCTCTAAAAAGCCCAGGTCTGGCCTTTGGTCTTCATTATTTTATTAAAAATTAATAAATACATTGAAATTTCTAATTAGAAAGATAACTTTGAATCAGATCTTTTCTTTAAGCACTTAAGTGTTCCACTCTATTTCTTATTTTACATATTATATCCATTAAATCTGAAGTAATTAAATACATACAGTTAAAGTCAGAATTATTCACCTTCCTGTGACTTTTTGTTTCTTTTTCAAATATTTCTTAAACGAAGTTTAACAGAGGAAGGAATTTTTCACCGTACTTTCTATAACATTTTTTTCTTCTTCAGGAGAAAGTCTTATTTGTTTTATTTCGGCTAAAATAAAAGCAGTTTTTAATCCTTTAAAAAACATTTTGAGGTCAAAATTATTAGCCCCCTTGAGCAATATTTTTCTACAGAACAAAGCATCATTATACAATGACTCACCTAATTACACTAACCTGCGTAATTAACCTAATCATTTAAATGTCACTTTAAGCTGAATATTAGTATCTTGAAAAAGATCTATAAAATATTATGTACTGTCATAATGGCAAAGATAAAATAAATCAGTTATTAGAAATGAGTTATTAAAACTAATATGTTTAGAAATGGGTTGAACTATGAAGAGAGGAAAGCTAATAATTTCAACTGTATAGATTAAATGCCTTATTTATCACAATAGCTGAAGTCTGCATGATTCTGACAAACAAATGCATTGATGAAGATGAACTGTTATTGCATGCCCCACCTGTCCACTGTTAGCCAGTTCATCCACCGACAGCGAGTTGTCCAAACGAAGCCCGAGCCCGAAGTCACAGAGACAACATGTCAGGTCGTTCTTCACCAGGATGTTGGAACTCTTGAGGTCCCGATGGACGATGGGCACTTTGGGTCTCCCACAGGGTGTGTGGTCACTATGCAAATGAGCCACGCCACTTGCCAGGGAACTGCCAAGCAGCCGCAGGTCTTCCCAGCTGAGCAAGTGGCGCATCAAGTACTCCTGCAGGTTCCCCCGTGGGTGAAACGCTGTGATCAGCCAGTACTGTTTCTCCACCTTGCGCTCCTCTGCTGTTAGGAAGTGCAGGATGTTCTCGTGCTTCAGGTCGATGTCCTGAAAGATGTCCTTCTCGTTCTTCCAGGACGCGTACTCTTCATAGGGGAAGATCTTTACTGCTACTGTCTCGAACTGCTCTGAAGGGCTTTGTCTCAGCTTGGCTTTGTACACCTCAGCGAAGCGGCCCTTGCCCACCTAAAAGGGGTGGAAGAAGCAATACATTACTGACACGCAAGTAAGTGAATGTTTTAAGTGTTTGGCTGAAAACAATTACAGGTTCAAATTGTACTTAAGTGTCTAAGTAAAAGCCTGGCAAAAAAAAAAAAAAAAAAATTTAAGTTTGAAAGAAAACGTTAGCTGCAATATATTGTAAAACACTGACATTGTGATATTTTCTATGATATTTACTGCGATACTGAGTATAACTTCACCAGATGAAATAAACTCTAGGTCTATTTGGAAAGAATTCATCATTTTAGATACATTATAATGATTTTATAAGTGTGAGGATTACATTAAATTGGTTTATTATATGTTGTATATTATACAATATATAATATACCAATCACAAGCATTGATAAAAACAGTAAAGCAATGATACTGTACAAATAAAAGGCACCGTCCTTTATGATTTTCTGGACGTCTAGCAATATTCAGATTTAAAAATAACACTGTATAGTTTTTATCCTATATTTACATAAATACAATTAATCTTTCTTAAAGTTAGAAATGTCATTTGTTATGCCTGGATACTTCAAAAGGACCTTTAAAAAAGGCTCACAGTCGCAGGCCCTAAACGCACATAAATAATGAACGCTTTGGTAACTTTATATTGCAATGACAAATCATGAGTGTTTTCAAATATAGCTCCTGGTCAATAATAATACCAGTTAAAAACTGCAGATTCAGCAGTGCGAATATTACAGATGCGCATATTGCGATATATTGTGCAGCTTTAGTGTAGTAATTCACACAATAACACAAAACCAAATAATAATATGCATAAAAAAATGAACAAATAATAACTTTAAAAATGCTGAACTTCTCCTACTTTGACTTTGTTGTAGTTTCATTTAGTTTAATGTAAAACTAAAACAGCTAAAGCTACAAAAACAAAGCAAAAAAAAAAAAAAAAAAAAAAAACAGACAGACATTAAATGCATATCTGTAGCTTAAATAATGCATGCAAATTTAAATATTTAATATTATTGTATATAGATGAGAATAAAGAAATATAATTTAAATGCACACATAAATAGGCAGGCAGTCAGTTTTAAATGAAACTAAATAAAGAAAAACTCCTAACTATACTTTTATAAATATATAATATATACCAAATATACTTTATAAACTCAAAAAAAATATTTTAAAACCCATTTAATTGTTTTTTTTTTTATGGAAACTTCGTTGGATTTTATGAAAAAACGAAACTTTTTTAAGTGAAAAAATAGGTCGCTTTGATTAAAATATATCAAACTTACTTGACCAGATAAACTTATATACCTCCAGTTTGTGGGAATTTGTTAACTGTGGTATTACATATCATCTCAATTAAAAACAACTGACCAAAAGAAATTAGTTAATAAAGGTCCCATTACGTATTGTGAAATGTGCATTTTTTATTCAATGTTTGATATAACCTCAACTGAAACAGAGAGCCCCATCATACACTCTGCGCAATAAAGTGCAAGACATGTTTGGTGCGATTTGTTGCTATTTTCAGACCAGTGCAACCCTAATTTTCACATTGTGCGCCACGTTGTTCAAATAGCAAATCCATTTGCGCCACTTTGTGGACTCATAGGTGTTTCTCTGTGGCAACCCCTGATTAATAAAGGTATTAAGCCGAAAAGAAAATGAATGAATGAATAAAGACAAACTGCAAGCTTTAGAATGTTGATACTTTTGTATTGTTTTTTGTTACTGTTTCAGAGCACACTAGCTTATAGATAGATTTAAAAAGCTTGATTTTAATTTCACAGGAACTTTGAGAAAGTTTGTACAATATTAAGTTGTCTCCTGACCTGCAGGTCGAGCTCGATGGGCAGCGGATCCATGTTGTGATTGATGTTGTTGGCATGTGTGGAGCTGCTGTCTGAGCGGTCGTCATCCATCATGATGGCGCAGGCGTCACTGCAGTCCAGAGGGCCTTTGGGACCCTTGTGTTTAGAAGGCTTCTTGGTCTCCCACTCGTCGAGTTTTCTGCGGCGGTACATGCGATACCAGTAGAAGGAGGCGATGACCAGCACAGCCAGAACCAGCAGAGGCAGAAGACTGACCAGGATCACCAACACCACCTGGTTATTGGTGGGAACTTTATCAATCGGAGAGAAAGCAGGGGAATGTTAGCATTTACCTTCCCACACACAACAAGATGATTGCATTTAATAAAAAACTATGGCTATTTATAGTTAACAACACAGTCTATAAGAAGAAAAAGATCATATTGTACACACTACACAGATTTTAAATGCTAAGAAAAAAATGCTCCCCCAGATGTTGTCCTGATTATATTAATATTTAAGTTAACAAGCTGTTGTTTTCAGAAGCAAATGCTTCAGAGTTTTTAGTTCAGTTAAACAATGGTATCTTACTGGGAATAGTAATAAAAAACAGATATTTAAAATACAGTACTTTTCATCATTGTTATATACACTAGATTAGAGCTGAAGATTTTTGCCCGAACCCGACGGGACCCGGCGGCAACCGCCATCAGCCTGTTTGAGCAGACCAAAGAAAGTGACGATTGACAAAATGGCGACAGAGACCTCATTATAAATCCTCAGGGGAGAAAAACTGCATTTTCCCAGTGTAAATTTCAAACTACAGCTGAACAAATCATTATAAATCAGGTAAGTGACATTCTAAGTCGATCTCTCTCTTTTTTGTATGTTGTAGTGCTGTAGTCATACCACAAAGACTGGTAGTGTTTGCTTTGGCTTTTTCGGGGTTAATTATTGAGAAATCCCAGTTGCAACAGAGAAATTCTGGGAGACATCTTTGTAGACTGATGCCATTTCATGCCACTCAGCCTTATAATCTTAAAATGTCAGCAAATTATCTATTTTGTCATCACTTTAGACATTATGCTAGAGATTCATTTAAAAAGCTTTAAAGTGACGTTGGTAAATTAGAAACGGCTTCTGTTGCTCTGACGTCAGCTGCGAATGTGAATGAATGGCAGAAGAATATAGCTCCTCATTCAAAAGGGTTTTTAGACTCTCAGTGTTTGATTTTCTTTTTTTTTTCTTTGCTCAAATATATACTGTAAAAAATACTGGGTTCCACACAATTCCTTTATGTTGTCCCAACACAAATCGAGTAAGTTAACTTAATAATTTTTACAAAGTAGATTGAACATAAAACAATTAAGTTGCCCCCCCCCTCAAAAAAAATAAGAAGAATCGTGTTTTCAACTCATTTTAAATAAGTAGTTTGAACAAGCAGCAAGAGTCAGTTTTGAGTGTAGCAGGCATAACCATTCAGTCACCAAGTCACCAGTTTGCCCAAACCCCTAATCATTAACTCAGTATGTGAGCAGTTTTTCCAAGCATGGTTGAAGCTCGCACACTGCTCGTCTGTTCTACCATGGGGAAAGTTTACCCTGCTATATGCCGTGCTCCTGCCAGCCTGAGGATTGGCTGCAGGTTCAATCCAGAGACAAAGCGAGACCTGCCAACTACGTGGGCAGAGAGTGGAGTCAGTGTTTGGTCTGTCTGCATTCTTCCATCAAACACACAGACACGCCTTATCATTGAGACGCAGACATGAAACCAGCAGAAATGGATACACGACACTGCGAGAGAAAACGTCAATAAATGCCAAAGCGTTTGGCAGACACAACAGTCGGCAAACATGTCCGTGAAGCGCAAACGAAAAACACTCTCAACCCTTCACATGCAGCAGCAGAAAGCTGTTCTCCAGCCAAATGAAAGACTATATAATCATGCATGAAATGACGGTGCCCTTTCCAGCTTAATCCATCTAATATGAGGCTCTGCTGTTAAAGAGACACTTGATTATGCTTTCACTTTTTAAACTGTAGATAGTGTGTGATGTTGCTGTTTGAGACTAAACAGCATTTGCAAAGTTATTATGCTTAAAGGTCAACTCAAAGAAAGAGGTTTTTGTCTTTTTTTTCCAAGACAAAAACGTGCAGGTGAACTGGGTTTGTTTGTTTGTTTGTTTGTGTTAACGCCATGCCAGTTTCTATGGACATTTTCATGGCAAGAAAAAGCATACTGGAGATATAGATTATATGAAAGTGTTACAATTGTTTTTTGTGAAAAACTCTAAAACTGTATTTGGATTACCACTGTTAAAAATGGCATCAAAAGAATATTACAAAAAACATAATGAATAAAAGAATACATATTTAATAATACTATTTCTTACAGCATTAAAACTCAAGTGAATTGGGTAATTTAATTTAATAAAAGTAATATAATACTATTATACTCCCCGAGTTAATTGATTACAATAAGCATATCATTTTACAAATGATATAATAATATGAATGATAAACTATTATGTAATATAAATAATTACTTAAATATGTAAATGAGTTATATTTTAGTAAATAAGGTCTAATTATTATAATATATCATATATGTCACAAAAAAAAAAAAAAAATATATATATATATATATATATATATATATATATATATATATATATATATATATATATATATATATAGTTTGTATAATAATATCTTGTTGTTGTGCATTTCTAATTCAGAAGTTTCCTAGAACCAGGAATTTAACAGACCATTTTAGGACAAGGGAAACAGCAGTGTTAGTGTAGAATAAAAATGTGAGAAATAATGTGAGTTAAAGAAAAATAAAGTACAAACCCCAATTACTGTTCACCCCCAAGCCTTCAAAAATAGCTGATTGACCACTCATTTACATAGTCTTAACAAGAATCAAGTGGATCACGCTTTTCAAAACCTCAGACTCACAAATTCATCTATTAAAACTTTAATGCTTCTAGCTGGTGGTGGAGGCGACAACAGACATGTTTCTCATTAGCGCACACTCATTAGTGAGTGTGCTACTTCCATTGCTTCTATACTGGAAAAAGATCCATTAATGGTGCAACGTTTATTGATATACTGAATAATATTATTATTATTGATACTGTTATTAATATTACTAGTATTGGAGTGTTGGTTGCCTTGAATAAAAATGGAAAAATGCAAAATGCATTCTTTTAATAAAGTATTATTAAAATACTTCATTAAAACATCTAGGACATCTACTAAACTATATTACTCACTACTGTTTTCTAGTACAATATAACTTATTTAAAAAATCTCCGAACATGGCATTTTAACTCTATGTTTATAGACAGGTCGATTCTTTCCATCCTCTGGTGTACTAATGATCAATGGCAAACAAGCTTCATCCTGCTTTCATTTGATTTTCCTGGCTGGGCACAATGCATGCCTGCTTTAATCTGAAAATGTCATTATTCATAGTGAGGATTCCCACATGTACATCTTACTGCATTTTTCGATCCCTGTCCTGAAAATACAAAAACACAGCCAGACTGAGAGCAGTAACAAGCTCAACATGAGAAACTCAGACCTGTTTCTGTTTGTTTGTTATGGCTACGACTTCATTTTATAGCATGGCTGAAACCACAAACAAGTCTGACTTTTCTCTCTCTTTTTTCTTTTCTTTTTTTGTCTCACTAACACCGTCGTGGTCTGCCGCTTGGCTTTTCTCAGTGTGATTCACAGTTTAAACTCTCAGCTCTATAACCTGAGGCCAAGATTCCTCTGCATGTGTGTGTGGGTGTGTTTGAGAGCCGGTGAATATATGTGTACGTGCCGGTCAGACCTGAGCTAAAAAGAAAAGCTATGTTTAAACTAGAGCACTAAACTTAACTAGTGTTTTAACACAGCGCTTTAAAATGAAATGTTACTCATACAGTATATACTGGTGCTTCCACTATGTTTCAGAAAAGATCTCTCCGATGCTTTTATCACCACCAGGGTGGATTACTGTAATGGACTCATCAAAAGACAGTCAGACAGCAGCAGCTCATTCAGACACTGTGGCCAGGATTCTAACCAGAACCAGAAAAACAGAGCACATCACACCTGTCCTGAGGTCTTTGCACTGGCTCCCAGTTTACATTTGGAATATATTTTAAAGTATTATTACTCGTCTATAAATCACAATGGCCTAGGACCTCAATATATTACAGATATGCTCACTGAATACAAATCTAGCAGATAACTTAGATCATTAACAACAAGTAAATTAGAAATTCCTAAAGTTCAGTGAAAGCAGGGTGAATCTGCCTTCAGCTACTGCTGCTTATTTTTAATTCTTTGTTGTTTTTCTTTTATTTTAAATTCTTGTGTAAAGCACTTTAAATTACCATTGTGTATGAAATGTGCTATACTGGATTGACAACACACATGTCTAAACAACTAAAAGCAAGAAAATTTGAATTTAAGATTGTAGCCTACATACTAGGGCTGCAAAATATATTGTTTCAGCACTGATATCGCAATGTGTGCACATGCAATAGTCATATTATAGAGTCTGAATTATAGCTGACCAGGAGCTACTGCAAAGTTTATCCATAATAATGTAAAAGTTGATCACTTGCATGTGTTTTAAGATTTGTGAGTATGCATTTTAAGACAGTTTAAAACATTTGGAATCCAAAAATGTTGATGTTTGGAGGCATAAGAAAGATTAATCGTGTTTATTTATACTATTCATGCATAATTGTTACTTCGAATTGTTTTCTTTTTCTAGTTAAAATATCTACATTTCAAAGTGAAAATAAGATTATTTTAATTTCCCCATTGGTCGATAGTTTTACTTGCTTTAAGGAAAAACTCTTCATTTTGGCTCATTAATTCTGAAGGTGAAAACAAAAGAATATTTTAACCTAATCTAAGATTTTTTTTTTTGATATTTGGACTAGAAATGAGACAAAGCAATTTTTATGAATTGTGATTATTACATTTTTGCACCTGAATATAGTCAGACTCTCCAGAAAAATGTCTAATCAAGGCATCTTGTAAAACTGTATTCATATTGCAATATTTCCTGCAGAGAGATAAAATATTGATAAAATATCTTTTTTTTCCAATATTGCGCAGCCTTACTACATACAAATACAAAATAAAACACATATTATAATAGTATTTGTCATAAATAACTATTATTAAAACAGCACAGAGAGAAAATGCAAGTTTAAGTTCGCTACAAATCCTTTAAATCTATATGCATGTAATGTGTGTAGACAAAATGTCTATAAAATCAAACAAAACTACATTAGTCATAA